TTTTTTTTTTTGGCTATTAGAAAATTCGAATTTTGAAGACTTTAAAATTCATTAATACACACTTCAAATGTCGAGAAAGCTCAATTCCCGCCATCTAGGAATCAAAATTTTCACGGGGGAGAACCCCCAGACCACCCTTTCTTTTTGGGATTTATCGATTCATGGAAAAAAGAATACGCATGCAACTACTCATTTATTTATGTATGTATACACACACATAAAATAAAAAATGAGAAAACTTTACCTGACCTATTTCAAGAGGGGAAAACCTTGAATTTTGAAGAGCTTTAAAAGTCATTAAAAGACATTTCAGAAGTCAGGAAAGCTCATCTCCCGCCATCTAGAAATCGAAATTTCCCCCCTTTATCTTTGGACCCCCTTTATCTTTGGAGTTCATTGATTAATTGAATCATTTTCAAGGTTGGGGGAGGGGACCTTGAATTTTGAAGAATTAAAAAGTCATTAAAAGACACCACAGAAGTCGGGAAAGCTCATTTCCCGCCACCTAGGAATCAAAATTTTCCCGTGGAAGAACCACAGGACCTCCCCCCACCCTTTCTTTTTGGGAAGAGTGGAAAACCTTGATTTTGAAGAACTTAATTACTTTTAAGTTCTTCAAAATTCAAGGTGTTCCCCTCTTGAAAATTATTATAATGAATCAATGAACCCAGAGAAAGGGAGGTTCGAGTTCTTTCCGGGAAAATGTTGATTTCTAAATGGTGGACAATGTGATTTCCCGACTTCTGAAGTATTTTTTAATGACTTTAATTTAAAAGACACCTCAGAAGTCGGGAAAGCTCATTTCCCGCCTTCTAGGAATCAAAATTTTCCTGGGGAAGAACCCCGAACCCTCCTTTCTTTTCGAGATTCATCTCATGGAAAAAATCGTATGCAACTACTCAATTTTTTTACAATGTATTTATACACACATAACAGGCCTATTTACTGTAATGAAAAAGTTTACCTTACCGTTTTCATGAGGGGGAAATTTTGAAGAACAAAGTCATTAGACACCTAGCTCAAAAGTCGAGAAAGGTCATTTCCCGCCATCTAGAAATCAAAATTTTTCCGGGGGAGGAATGTTGACCCCACCACCTAGATTTGATTCCAGATGTCATTATTATCATCATCAACATCAACATCATCATCATCATCATCATCATTATGATATTTAAAACAATTAATCTAAAAAACTTTAGAAGAACCAACATCAAAATCGTCATATAAGAAAATTATTGAGGCAATCAATAAAGATATTTTGATTCAAAGTATATAAAATAATTCTACTTATTTGTTCAAAACGGATTGCAGTAATACTTATCAATGCTATTACTGTAATGTAAATACAAAGATCTATTGTAGTTCGAAAGCTCTGATTCACTCTCTTAATTTATATCTTACAATTAAACTTTTGCTTTTTCTTTTACCTAAATGATATACAATGGATGTAAATATATTAGCAAAATGATTCAGTTTGTGATAAAATGGCAAAATAGACTCACATTGATATGCCTGTCTCTTATACACACCAAACTCAAAGAAAGAAAATTTAAGATCGTTTTACCTAAAAAAAGGGCCTCAATGTGTAATGATGTTGAAAGAATATGTTTGTAATAAATAAAGCTATAAGGAGAATGCTTATATTCAGTTTAAAAAAACGAGTGTGGCCATATATAACATAAGAGCTTGTTGAGGTAGGCCAATTTCCTCTAAAAATTGCACATTTTAGGGAGTTATGATCAATTCAGACGAAATTAGAATTAAAAAAACAAAAAATTTTCGCGCGCTAAGCGCGCATTTTTTAATGTTAAAGTTTGTGCTTGCTCTCCTTTGCCTTCTAAGTTATAACACATAGTCCAAAACTTGAGAAAGAAAATTTAAGGTACCGGTAGATCGTTTTACCTAAAAGAAGGGCCTCAATGTGTAATGATGTTGAAAGAATAGGCCTATCAATTGTAATAAATACTAACCACGATGAAAATGCTTATATTTAGCTTCAAACACACGTGTGTGGCCTATATTAATAATAAAATAAGCCCTATGTCGTATTGTTTTCTATATGGTGGGTGGAGGGGGGTATCACCCAAGACCCCTGTTACACGCCTGCTTATAAGTGGGGCCCCCCACTTTGAAAAACGTTCCGCCGGCCCTGCATTAATGGTTAATTTGTGATCGATATTGTCAGGTTCATGCCATCTTTATATTATACTATTTATTCTATTTTAACTTCCTAGTAATAAAAATTACATAAATAAAAATAAATAAAATTATACAAAACCACATATACATACATTTAATGTATTGTTGTAACAGTAATAGTAAAATAAAGTTTCTTAAAAATTAAGTTAATTCGTTAATACTCACATGTTTCCATGTTTTCTTTTCTCTTAAATTACATTTATTAATGGTTAATACCTATAATTAACGTTATTAATTTGTGATCGATATTGTCAGGTTCATGCCATCTTTATATTATACTTTTTATTCTATTTTTACTTCCTAGTAATAAAAATTACATAAATACAAATAAATAAAATTATACAAAAACACATATACATACATTTAATTTATTGTTGTAACAGTAATAGTAAAGTAAAGTTACTTAAAAATTAAGTTAATTCGTAAATACTCACATGTTTTCTTTTCTCTTAAATTATATTTATTAATGGTTAATACCTATAATTAACGGTATTAACTTGTGATCGATATTGTCAGGTTCATGCCATCTTTATATTATACTATTTATTCTATTTGAACTTCCTAGTAATCAAAATTAAATAAATACAAATAAATAAAATTATACAAAACCACATATACATACATTTAATTTATTGTTGTAACAGTAATTATAGTAAAGTAAAGATACTTAAAAATTAAGTTTGGATAATATATGGAATAGAAGGAAAGAAATTGAACTTACCTGCTTCAAAACATCCGTAAAATTGTAGGATCAAAAGCAAATCTTCAAGGTCAACATTTTCAAAGTCAACCACATTGAATTTAAGAGCAACAATCTCCCCATCTGCAGAGACGGGCACTCTGTCCACATTAACAGTTTTTTCGAACACCTATAATATGGTTATAATACAAACAGTAGTAGATAACACACATAATGATTATAACAATAATTAATTACCACCATCACTATCATCACCATGGTCATGAAAATCATTATCATTACCCAGTAAACTAAGATCAGCATCAGCCTCTTTAAAAATGACAACATATCTGTTGTAACTCATCATAAATAATGAATCCAAACGATCGACAGGATATTATAAACAAATTAAATTCAAAAGCAATAAACTAAGATTTAATCAGACAATTATCAGGCATGTTTTAACTGTATCAAACATACACCATCACTAATAAAACACACAGCTTTCATTTTCTTTCTGTGGGCATTATCATCATCACCACCACCAATGCCATCATCGTTGTCATTATTATCATCATCAACATCAACATCATCATCATCATCATCATCATTATGATATTTAAAACAATTAATCTAAAAAACTTTAGAAGAACCAACATCAAAATCGTCATATAAGAAAATTATTGAGGCAATCAATAAAGATATTTTGATTCAAAGTATATAAAATAATTCTACTTATTTGTTCAAAACGGATTGCAGTAATACTTATCAATGCTATTACTGTAATGTAAATACAAAGATCTATTGTAGTTCGAAAGCTCTGATTCACTCTCTTAATTTATATCTTACAATTAAACTTTTGCTTTTTCTTTTACCTAAATGATATACAATGGATGTAAATATATTAGCAAAATGATTCAGTTTGTGATAAAATGGCAAAATAGACTCACATTGATATGCAGATAAAATTTTATAGGTATAACTTAAACATTCGACATTTAAACTCATTGTTTTCGTAAACAATTGTTGTTACTTAAGTGGTTCATTTATATGCGCAATTAAACATCTTATATTATGTTTTAGAGGTTTTCTTCTGAAATTTAAAATGCAATAATTTGTAATAGAAAAACAAGTAATATTAAACGAATTAAAATTTTAAATGCATACAAAAACCTTTAGTCAAAAATAAATCTGTCCAGATTTGGTAAAAAAAAATTCAAACTTACACTTCCAAGTTCGACAAATTCCTCTGAGTTTTCATACTGAACTTCAATATTGAAGCTGAGATAGAAATCACTGTTGATAATTTTATCATTGATAACAATGGCTGTTAGTTCGACATCTTGGTCAAAATGCACTTCGAGACCACCATTAACTGGCAGATACGCTTCATTTTCATCCAACAATTGATCATTTACATAGCTGTTGATCTTCAGGTCCTCCTCCATATTTAGGAGATCATTACAAGGTACTGCAATATCCAATATTATACATTTTAACCACCATATTAAAATTTAACAAATCTTGGATCATATTTAACAGTTTTATTCATACGCCATAAAGTTAATATTGCCGGTAAAATTTGTGATAGAATATCATTCAAAGATTTACTGTCTTTAATAACTAAATAAATTAAAATTATATGGATAAAGATAGTTTTTAAAAATAGCAAGTTAGTTTAATGTGTAGGCCTTCCTTTATTTTCAGATAATAGGTTGTGCAAGCTTGATCTATTATTTCAAAACTTTCTTTGTTACTAAGTGTTATACATTTAATATTTTTTGTTATATGTTTATACACATGATAATTTTTATCCCTATTTAAGTGTTCATATCTTAGTTGCAAAGTGTCGGGAAGTTCTCCAATGTACGGGGAATTACAACCAACAACATGTAAATTGGTACACAACATTGGACTTTTGATCACTGTTTATAGGGTCTATATTATTTAAGAAATTCATTATTTTTGTGGTGCTAAATGTCAAATGTATATTTAAATTAATACAGTAGTTTTTACATAATTTTGAAATCTTTTCTTTAGTATTATTTGAAATAGAACCAAGAAATGGTAATTTAAAGTAAAAAAATTTACATCTTCGCTTGTTTTAATAACTCTTTTTTATATATTTACAGTCCAGATATTCTCTGATGGACTTACCAATTCAATTTAGTGGGTAACTATTTCTTAAGAGTATATCTTTAACTTTATTTATGTCATCATTAAAACCAAGCCATGTATAATTGATTTAAAAAAAACTCTATCAATTAATGTGTAAATTAACCTACTTTTGTACATTTTTGGACAAAAACTAAAATAATATTAAGATAAGTCCTGGAAAGCTCCTTTCCTAAATATTAATGTTTTTGTATTACATTATATTCAGATCTCTACAATTCAGAAATCGTTGGAACTTCTCAGCTTCTTCCCGATTGTCGATTAAGCAAAATGTGTCATGCACGTAGCGCAAATATAAATTCACTTTTGAACAGTCTTTAGTCGTTAACCACTACCTCTCGTTGTGTCCCATAAATAGATTAGCGAGAGTCGGAACTAATGTCTACCTCATGCTGACCCCATCTATTTGTTGAAAGTATTCATTATTAAAAATAAAGTATCCAGAAGTTGCTATTACCATTAGTTTTCGAAGGTTTTCAGGTTTCAATTGACAATTGCTATTGTTTTCCGTAACATAGTGTACTGCTAAATTAATAACCTCTTTCAATAGTATGTTCGTGAATAAACTCTCAACGACAAATGAGATCAACAATTTGTTATTCAGTTTTTGATTTTTATAATAATAATAATAATGATGATAATAACAATAATAATAACAATAACAATAATAATAATAATAATAATAATAATAATAATAATAATAATAATAATGATAATTATTATTATTATTATTATTAATAATAATAATAATAATAATAATAATAATAATAATAATAATACTGGATTTATATAGCGCCTCATGTTGACACAACCTCGAGACACCTAACAACAACAGAGAAGAAAAACCAAAACAAATGCAAATGTACCAAAAAGACATTGTTTCCACAGCATTGTTGTTTTTTTATAGTGCCTCTTTTGAAACATTGTTATACGCGAGTTTATTTACATTATTCATTCATTTTTGAAATTGTGCATTTCATTTATAACATCTATATTACCAACATGCTTGCACTGCCAGAATGGCTTAAACAACTAGGAATCACTATTATTAGTGTGCCTAGTTACACTAATGACATGATATGTCATTTCATTTTATATATTCCTTTAAAAAAATATAACAAGATCAACGACAAAAAGAAAATAGACAAGATCACTAATAGTGATCTCAACCACACTATGAAAAGGTCATCTAACATTTAGTCAATACTTAATAATCCAAAAAAACTTCAAACACATTTGGAATTTGGCAACACTATGTACCTTAGTACACTTATTCATCTAAATAGGAGTACTCAACTTTCTCAGTGTATTTGTATTTAGAACTTTCGTTTATCTTGTGTGCACCGTAATAAACATCCTCAAGCTGTTTACCCAACATTTTCAACTAACTTACATGGTATCAGATATGTTAACTTACATGGTGTTGTTACAGCAGTGACTGTCGTAGTAGTAAGTTCAGTAGTAACTTCTGTTGTCGTATGAACTGTGGTAACCGTAGATGTGGTAGACTCAGTTGTTGTTGGTTCCATTGTTGTTGTTGGTACTGTGGTAGTCTCAGTTGTGGTGGCAGTTGTCTGTTGAGTAGTTGGTGGTGCTTCCGTTGTTCCTTTGACAAACAAAAATATATTACTTGCTTTCAAATGCATATAACAGTTTAACATATAAATTAAAATATAAGAGATTATTGAGAGTAAGAGAGAATTCAACCTTATTTTAGTTAAACGTCCCTACCCCGTAAATAATTCTGCTAAAGTGTGCTATGTCGGATTACACAAACTTGAGCTTCTCTGTCTAAAATTGCATAGGATGGTCTGTTAGAGCGAATACAATCGGATAACTGTGACCTATGCATAATTCTGTTCAGTTTGGAGCATGTAAGTCAATTAGGCGTTAGTAGAGTAAAATATCCCAGAATGCATAGTTATTGGAGCCTGTTGCTTATGAAATTCGAAGGATGAATTTAAGCATATATTGAACGTATTATGGCATTGGCGGGTATAAGAAAATACTGTAGTGACACATCTTTTTTATAGTCACTTCTAACTGTCTGACCACAAACACTATATGTATACTGCATTGCAGTCAATTATAAGCGAAAATGCTTGAGATTTTCAAAATTCCAACAGGCATAAGGTATTACTGGCTAGGTAATTTATGGCGTTATATAACACATGGGAGCCATATTTAAGACGACATACTTGTCTTGTAGCAACCAAATATTGTTAGTGCAATGGAGGCAGTGCTGCCGGCAGATCCCTCTATACTGGTAATAGTGATTGACAGGTGAGTCACATATACTTCCTCATCAGGTAATCTGACAACCGGAGTATTATCTGATGGGTCTTCCTTTGACATTTCTTGATCCTGCAATGATAATAAAAAATAGTAATAATGACAATCTCAATCAAAATTATAATAAAAAAATATATAATTATAATAACATCGATGAAAATAATACTGACATTAATAACTATGACGATGCTTATGAAAATAATAATGGTAATAATGAATTAACAAAAACTAATACAAGTTTACGCTTGTGACGTGTTGAATGCGATCCCCAAGTACTGAAATGCTATTTCGATGTGCTTGCGTCAGGAAGATAGCCTAGGAGTGATGTTTTTGCACTAATCACTAAGCGCAAGCTCGGTGGTTTTAGTGGTTACTACACGAGGCTAGATATCTTGAGGTCGTGCGTTCGATTTCCATCCGAATCACTTGTGAGTTGTTTTCGCAAATATTTAGGAACATAGTGAGTATTCAGTACGATAACATGTCAGGTCGGGCAAAAACATTACTCATATGGTAATAATAAAATAACATAAATAATTTAATTTTAAAGATCTAAATTAAAAATTTAAAGATCTAAATTTCACAGTAAAATGTTACATTATAAGGTACAATATTATTTTTAATTTTTAAATTACCAAAGAGTATGTATTTGAAAACAAAAATTACAATACAATAATATTTAAATAGAAAACTCGACTGCATAATAAAAAAGTTGAATACACCATTTGTCACAACATTAATACTATACTAAAATAGATGACACACAGATTAAAAGTTACTTATAACGTTTTAACAGAAAAGTCAGGCTCCAGAGGAAAAACTAATTTTGATAAGTTATAGAACTGATTTTTCTAAGACAGAAACAAGTTGTGTCACAAAAAACAGGGGAATGGTGAATGAGATACAGATTTTTGAATATTTAAAAACTGGGGGAAAAGGTGTAAGAAAGGACAGTCAAAATTTGTTTTTCCTCCAGAGTCCGAATTTAACACTTACAGTAGCACAATTATTTGATATATTCAGAGTAACGAAAGTTCAGGAAGATTGAGAACAAATGGGGATGTGATATTTCGAGTAATGTCTTTTTACCCAATCCACTGAGTGTGCTGATTTTTTTGTTATGATGGTGATGATAAATGTTTGAGAAGAATTCGAAACCCTCGTTTTGCAAGTCGATTAATTTTGGGCCAGAGACTTTATGTACGTTTGCTTCCCTACACAGAAGTATCGATAGGTACAAGGTAGGTTGGTGTGAGCTTGAATGTACTAGTTTATTGAGATAGACACATTAACACAGTTAGCTATTTACTCCCCCAGAAAGAGGAAAAGGTTACACATTGTGTTGGTTTGTCATATCCAATAACCAGGAGTAATTACGCGAACACCTTTGATCATTGATTTGGTATCGACGCTATAAATCTGTAGCATTATTATTTGTGATTATAATATTGTTGACCATGACAATATACATTCATGAAATAAAATGAAATGTAAATTTAATGTGCAACAATTCAGGTGTAATATATGTGAAATGAAATGTAAATTCACATAAATACAATATATACGCAAAGATAGATATATTCAATTAAAGAAAAAAAAAACTATTGTATTTAGGTAATTACCATACAGGTGTTATTGTATTATAAGTATACTTTAAATGGTTAATGTGCAGCACTTAATGTGATAATGTATTGAAATGAAATGTATATTGAAATAAAAACAATAAATAAATAAATAAATAAACTGAGATAGATATCAACTAAAGAAAAAATACTGCCAAAGCAATTTTGCATTTATTATTTTACAATTTAAATTTATGATTATTTTTATTATAATTACAGTATATAAGTTTATTGTATAGAAATTTAATGTAAAAAACAATGATGAATAAATGTTATTTTCATATGCAGATATCTCAGAAATACTGAAATTCAACAGCTGAGGATGCACTAAATTTAGTACAGATATTGATGTAACCAGAAAAATCATTCACATAATACTTATTTATATTTTACCTCTGCAAGAGACTTATACTCTGTAAATCCAGCTTCAATACCATCTACATTGAACACGATGGAAGTAGCTCCACTTTGAAGATCATCTAGCTTAAGACCAGTAACCCTTGTTGGCTCATTGAACTCTAGAACTAATACAGCAGGTGAAGACGTGGCTTCTACTTCCCATGGTTGGTCTCCCTCGAGTACCTGCTCACCATCGACACGTTTCACAATCTCTAGATGGTCCTCTTCAAACAAGTCATCAGAGCAAGGATCTAGAATATAACATGACTATGAATACTTTCTAATATCATTTTTTTTTTCTCTCTCCATTTAATGGTCTGGGCCACTATTTGTTTGTTTGGTTTTTAGGGTGGGTTAAAATTGGAGCATGGGTTACTAATATAATACTGGGTAGCTATTATGAGGCAAATAAACATTTTAACCCACACATTTTTCTTGTTTGAACACATTACTTGAATAACTATGCAAGCAAAATTATTGAATATTTGTTGTTGTACTTAAAACAAATCGCGTATGGAATTCCACTTGTTTATAGGCCTATGTAAGACAAATTGAAAACCAAAGTTGAATTTATTGTCATTTATAGGCTTAAAATTCTGTATTCTTGTATATAAACAGTAGGCCTACTGGGTAACTATTATAAGTGAGTGATTATAAAAGTTTTAAGGTGGGTCTATTAAAATATGAGTCACTAATATAGTACTGAGTTTCCAATATTAGTTTCATGGTAACCTATCCAAAACTACTACATCGTGGTGAATTACTAGCAAATTTATAAAATAGTCCTGACTTACATGATATAGTTGTTATACGCGATGTGGTGACAGCCCTGGTTGTGGTCTCTGTAGGCTCTACAGTTGTGACAGCATTGGTTGTGGTCATCTCAGTTGTGGTTACATGAGGAGTCTGTGTGGTGAGTTCTGTTGTCCTCTTTGTTGTAATCTGCGTTGTTTTCTCTTCAAAAAGTTAATTATAAGGGTACAAAAATATATATATTTATGTTAATTTAGCTAGGATTTAGCTCTTCTCACTGCCAAGCAAATACAATATCCCTCAAGCTTGAGTTGCACGTTTTAGAAATAGTGCGGTCCCTTTTTTGACCAATTTGATAAAATATAAACACTGAGCTCTAAACTGTGGCCATTACTTGCGACTCTCTTGTCGGTGGAATGCGGTATGTTGTCCTTTTTTTCACTCTATGAGAAAATTTAATTCAGTCGTGAGGCTGCGAACTGTATGAAGTTGTGAATGAAAGTTCTACTTGAAAGTATGCATGGTTTTTTATACTTTTATCTATTGTAATACAAACATTTTTAGCTGCGTGCTACCGTTTTGTACATTTTTTCTATACCGTAATAAATAAATAAATAAATAAATAATATATATATATATTATATATATATATACAGTATATATATATTTGTATATAAAAAAAATATATGTGTATATATATATTTGTTATTATTATTATTATTATTATTATTATTATTATTATTATTATTATTATATTATTATTATTATTATTATTATTATTATTATTATTATTATTATGAGTTAGATATCATCATGCCGCCTGGTTATATTTCTAGTATCTGATATTCAAATATATTGATAGTCAAATATTCCAGCTATGGAATGGCAAAGGACAAATATCAAATACCAAGTTATTCGACCTACACTGTATGCTCACCTTCAGTAGTAACAATTGTTGTTTCAGTTGTTGTTGTTACTGGAGTAGTTGTTTCTTTAGTTGTTACAGTTGTTGTCATTGGTGTGGTTGTCGGCATCTCTGTTGTGGTTGTCGGCATCTCAGCTGTGGTTGTTGGCAACATTGTTGTTGGCGTCTCCGTTGTGGTATAAACTATATAAATAAAATCAATCATGATAATTCTAGCCTGTTCGTATATGACATCGGAGGAGCCCTTATTGTTTTTTTAGATTTTTTCTAGTGCATTGCATCAAATCGGGCTTCAAAAATCTTTATTAGAATGTGAATCTGTAACATGCTTGGCATTTCTTTTCTAGGGTTTCACTTGTAATATCAAGTTTGCATTATTCTTACCACTATACTCATGTATCTTAAAATCAATCACTTCCTTGTATTAGAGCTATGAGAGTTATTTGGTTAATACTAGAAATTCTCCTTTTACGCAGCGCAGTAAAAGCATATTTTCCACACGATGCAAATTTCGATAAGTAGGAGTTTGAAACAAATTGACCAACAACGAAATTGACGACGACAACAAATGAAAAAATATTACAATTTCAACATTTGATATTTAATGAGATTTATGATGTTTAGTGAAATATCAATTATGCAAATGAGCAATTAGCATAATCACACTCGTACCAAAGCCAATAGGCAATTACCATATTTACACAAGTACAAAACCAATAAGCTCAGTCGCTTAATCTACATCTTGCATTCTCCAATGTTTGACAACAATGAGACTTACTAAACATTAGCTGTCGTGGTAACTAGCATACACTTCCTGATTAGTGAAATATTAATTATATAAATGAGTAATTAGCACTTTCACACACGTAGCAAAAATAATAGACTGTCGCTTTATTAAAATATTGTATAAAGTTTGAAATCAATCAGACTTAGCAAACTGTAGTTATCATGGTAACAAACAATTTACAACCAACGGCAGCTACAGCGACAACAATAACGACAACAAAATGAAGTACGCAGGTAAATAAAAGCCTCTCCCGGTACTTTGCTCCTTTATAGACATTAACAATTACCCCTCGCATGGAAAAAAGACTACAAGTTGTAATCAGACATTTTCTTAGCATTAATAAATATAATCACCCTTTTCAATACAACCAACAAATTCAATCGTCACTTGTATGTCCTCTGCTGGAACATCAGTCAGAGTCAGAGTTATTGAGGTAACATCAAGAATGCCTTCTTCAGAGAAAAGTACTCTGTCTGTCAAACTAGCTCCGCTAAGTTCTTTTGTAAACACCTGTCAATTTGATTTAAAAACACCGTATTTTATATCTTCAAGGTACACTGATGATATTTTCTACTATTGAATTTTTACTCCAAAGGAATGGTTAATGTATTTTTGATAAATGAAATTGCATCAATGCCCAAATATATATATAAAAAATAGCAACAGATTACAAATGACAACACGGGCACAATAAGTGTAGTAAAAAGAATAATAATTACATAATATTACATTTACAAAAAGTCAATATATTAAAACTAACTTACCACTAGTACGTTATTATCATCAGTAATTTCTTTCACAACATCACTACCACGCTGTTTGTATGAAACGGTGAAGCTTATAGTTGCAGCTTTCTTACTATTAATTTCAACACCTGTTACTTTTAGAGGTTGTGCATACACAACCTCGAGGAACGAATCAATTATTGGATTCCAACCAGATGACTCAATATGAGTGATACCAATGACATCCTCACCATTTTCTGTATTTCGCTCACTTTCCAAGTTGTCATTTATTGTACTTAGAGGTTCCACACATTCTGATGGCACAACAGTTTAGGATTAAAATTCAGATTTTGTTTTTAAATTATTAGTAAATATTTTTTATACAAAATAAGTATTTAGGTATAATATGAAGATTTTAATCTTACCACGAATAGTAGTGGTTGGCAACTGTGTTGTGGTCGTTGGCATCATAGTTGTTGTTGTTGTTGGGAGCATTGTTGTTGTAGTTGGCATCTCAGTTGTTGTAGTTGGCAACATTGTTGTGGTTGTTGGCAATATCGTTGTGGTTGTTGACATCTTAGTTGTTGTAGTTGGCAATACTGTTGTGGTTGTAGGCATCTCGGTTGTAGTTGTTGGCATCTCTGTTGTGGTCGTTGGCAACATTGTTGTAGTTGTTGGCATCTCAGTTGTGGTTGTCGGCAAAATTGTTGTGGTTGTTGGCATCTCTGTTGTAGTTGTTGGCATCTCTGTTGTGGTTGTTGGCCACATTGTTGTGGTTGTTGGCATCTCTGTTGTAGTTGTTGGCATCTCTGTTGTGGTTGTTGGTAACATTGTTGTGGTTGTTGGCATCTCCGTTGTAGTTGTTGGCACCATTGTTGTTGTAGTTGGCAGCATTGTTGTGGTTGTCGGCATCTCCGTTGTAGTATAAACTATATAAATATCATCAATCACAATAATTC